TGCTCTGTGTACTCAGAGCTGTCAAGAATTGTCATCATATTTACATGGTGAACCTGCATCAGGATTATGCTTCTTGGCAAGCCAGGGATGAAGCTAAAAGAAAGAGGAAGGAAGATGAAAGAGAGAAGGAAGGTGAGCTATCTCCATCCCTCTCAAATCTTCACTCTCAAGCCCTCAGCCTTATCTCTGTGTGTCTGGGCTTGCAGCAGAGCTTGTAAGAAATGTTTTTATTAATCGTTCCACCTTCTGCCGCAGTGTAACCAGCACTCATCTTAAGAGTTGCAGGAGACCAGAGGTTTTAGGACTCACCTTAATCTCTAACATTAAAGCTTGGGCACAAGTGCAAGCTACTGTAGCTCAGTGACAAACAGCTCTCCTCAGTCTGGGTGCACTTAAGCCAGGCAAAGCCCAGGACCTCACTGCCTGGCCATAGCTTGGGGAATTGAATTTTGGAGCAGGGATATGATCTCCCCAATATCTGGTACAATAGGCTGGGTCAGGAGAAGCTGTGAATCCTTGCAGCTGACCCAGAGCACCCAGCTCTGCTTGCAGTCACTCATGGTTTCTCCTCTGGTTTGTGCTAAAGTGCTGCAGCGGGAAAAAGCTATTCAGAGGTACATAGAACGTATCTTGCAAATGGATGAGGACGAGTTTAATGCCCTCCCTGAGGAGAAGAAAGCAGAACTGGATAAAATGTTAGTGGAAAAGAAGTGCATACAGAGGGTGAGGTGAGTAAGCCTTCCATATGTTACTGCTCTTCCATGGCTTATTGTCCCTGGAGGGCTTGCCTGCTCCAAGGACTCTGAGCTCAGAGGTATTTGATAGCAAAGGCCAGAAGCAACACAGCGATGGCCACTCTTCGCTCCCTGCCTCCCAAGAGTGGAAGGACCTTCTTCTGTTGAGAAGAAGTTCCTTCTTCTTTATTTTAGTGGTGAGCCGTCCTGGCTTAGATGCTGCCTGCAGGGATCTGGGCTCTGGGCTTGCCTTGGAACTGCCTGCAGAAGTGTCTTTAAGTCCATGATGTTGATTTGCACCTTCCTCATCATCTCCCTTCACCAAAACAGTGGGATTGTGGTGTGGGTAGGTGTGGGGCACAGACCAAACCTTGGTTTGGGTCCTGGTCCTGCCACAGATGAAGTCCTTGCAATGCTGAGCTGCCAAGGTTCTCCTTATGGTGGGACACCACCCATAAAAGCTCACATCCTTTAGGCTCCCCTTCTGCTGCAGCAGTAGGCAAGCACAGGGGAAGCTCTGCTCCAGCAAGGCAGCCCAGCTCAGGCAAAGCGTGGAGCTGGGAGTGGAGGCTGCTTGAAGCAAGCCTGTGTATCAGGGCTCCTTTCAGCCCAGGCTGAAGTTGGTTTCATGGGGAGGAGATGGACGAGGCTGCTTCAAATCATTTCCATGGCAGACAGCACTGGTTTGCATGGTCACAGCTGATTCCAGCAGGAAACCTGGCTGACAAGAGCCTGTCTTGCAGGAGAGGGGTTCCTGCAGCCTTTGCTTTCTGCTAGGATTGTTCTCATTAAGAGCAACCCAGGGAGAAGGGGGCTGAATGAGCTGAGTAAGAATTGTAGGAGAGTGAAGCAGATGTTAGCAATCTGTGTTCTGCTTTAAACTGGGAAATCAAGAGACAAAGAGCGTTTTCAGGCATCAGCACAGACAGCTGGTGGATCAGCCTTTGGCAGTGGGCTGGAGGTGTCTGGGTGTGCCTTAAAAGGAGGTTGCACAGTCAAGACCTTATGATGGCAAGGCTTAGGTTTGGCTGGTCCTGGAGGTCCCCTTCCACCAATCCCCTCACTTGGGATGTTCCCAACCTCTGTGGGTTGAAGAAGATTCATTGAAATGGTCTCACAGTTCTGCCTGGCCTTGGGGTCAAGGAATGAAGTGCAGGGCCAGCCAGGACTAGCGAGCCCAAACTTCTGGTGGTGACTCTCAGTGATGTTTCCTATTTTGTTTGCTGAAGGGAGCTGAAGTGGCTGGCTCAAAAGCTTGAGGAAGAGGCAAAAGCCTTAGAGGAGGAACTGAGGCAGAAGGAGGAAGAGAGGCGGAAAGAGGAAGAGAGGCAGAAGAAGGAAAAGAAGGGTGTCTCTGTGGGGAAGCAACCTCCACAACCAGACAAGGGGCAAACCAAACCCACAGAGAAGATGGGAACCAAGGCCCCAGAGGGGAAGGAAACCAAACTCTCAAACAAGAAGGAAACCGAGCCCTCAGAAATGGAGGAAAGCAAAATCCCAGAAATGAAGGAAACCAAATCCCCTGAGAGGAAGGAAACCAAATCCCCTGAGGAGGAGGAAATCAAAGCCCCAGAGAAGAAGGAAACCAAAATCCTAGAGATGAAGAGAGACAAAATCCCAGAGAAGTTGAAATACAAAGCCCCTGAGAAGGGGGAACCCAAAGCCCCTGAGAAGGGGGAAACTGAAATCCCAGAGGACCCATCTCAGATGGAGAACTTGATCCTGAGGTTTCAGATCTATGAGTCATCACAGCAGAACGTCGCAGAGGTTTTGTCTTGCTGGGACAGGGTTCAGGGTACCATGCAGTTACCTGTGATCCAAAAGGAAAACAAGTCCCAGTCTTCAGCTGGAAACAAAGGTCAGAAGACCAATAAGCCTCAGGAAAAGTTGGAGAAGCCTGAACAAAGAAGTGGAGACCAAAGGAGTCGTCAGTCATCTCAGCAGGAGATGCAAAGTGAAGTTGCAGAGGGGGCAGTCAGAGACGAGCATATCGGGGTGCCATGCCTGGACATCCAGGTCTCAGATCCAAAGGCCATGATCAGGGAGATCCTGAGGGATGGGAAGCTGCCAACAGAAGACGAGGTAACACCCTGCAAGGCTCAGATCTTGAGCTTGTCATGGTCTTGGGCCCTGGAGCATTGTGTGATAATGGCACAGAGCCTTGTCCAGGCCTCTGATGATGTTCCACAATGGCTCTGTACCATCTGTGTGGATGGGGAGGTTATCACCATCCCTCAGATGGGCAGGAAGTGGGAGTGCTCTGTGTACAAGTGTCCCATCTGTTCAGAGTTTCCCAGCCTGGAAATCATAAACGGCCCCAGGACAGGGCAGCTCACAGCCATTGTTTTCTTCAGCTGAGTCACTTGGGAGAGGTTTCTCTCCCGGTCCTGCTTGGAGCTCTTGACTCTGCTCACCCCACTGGGCATAACAAACCACTTGTACTTCATGTAAATTGAAAACCCCGTTGTCAAAAGCTCAGTGCCTTCAAAGAAGGAGTTGTGGGCATGAAGGTGACACAAGTATAAAGAAGATTTTCCCTTCTGTTTTAGATGCTGCAACATCTGGGACTGTGTCCCGACGGCCCTCCCCTTGCCCCTGCTGCTGTGCTCTCCATAGTCGAGTACCCAGAGGAGCGGCTGGGCCCTGCAGAGCATGTGGAGCCCTTCACCATTGTGGCACCAGAAGGTGCTGCTGTGGAAGACAATCTGGTGGGTGCTCCAATGGTGCCAGAGCAGGGACCAGGCTAGATGGGGACATGGGGACAGGTTGGATGGAAAAGGATCATGGTGGAGAGGTAGTGAAGATGTGATGGGGCCCTGTGTCTGCAGGTCTCCTTTCTGTCAGGGATGGGACAAAAGAGACAGCTCTGTGGAGACAGAGCAGTTTTGTAAGACAAGACGGGAAAAAAACCCACTTAAAACCATCAACTTCCTTTGAGGAAAGGGTCTGAGTGAGAAGGAGTGTCCTAGGTAAAACAAACACCAAGAAGGAAGACCAAGTCCATGGGCAGGTGGACTTATTTATTCTCTCTTCTGTTGGTGAACAAACCCCCATTTTGCTTTCCAGGATGGGGATGTCTCAGGGCTCACCTCTCCCCCTCCCTTTTCTCCCTCCCCTTAGGACAAGGCCCCAGATGTGAAGGGCAGTTCTGCCGAGGGCCAGCCAAAGGTGGGTGAAGCAGCCAGGAGAGACAGCTCTGCAAAGGAGAAGCAGATCTCCACACAGAGAACAGAAAGTCCCCAGGATTCCTCTGCAACGAGATCCAAAAGTACACTGGAAAGTTCCTCAGTCCCCACAGAATTCCTCAGGTGAGCTGCACGGGAGGAGGTGATGCCTCTGCTTCTTTGGTCCTCTTGCCAAACAAGGCCCATCATCCCCAGCTCCACAGTGACCCTGTGCCAGTGCCTCCACGGGATGGCGAGTGCACCCTCCGTGTTTCGTTTGCTCCTCAGCAATGTCTGAAGGCTCCTCTTTAATTGACAGGCTGAAACGGTACCGGTGGGTAGTGCCTGCCCACGGTGAGGTGGAACTGAAGGTCCACTTCTCTGCCAAAAAGCCAGGGAAGTTTGAGCAGACACTGAGGTTTGAGCTCGTGCAGACAAAGCACCCGTACGAGCTGCCCTGCTGTGGCACCGGCCTGTACCCCAGCATCAGCCAGGACCCACGGTAAGGCTGGCCCCTGGCAGCCCCCACAGCACAGCTGCCCCTGAACTCACAGCCAGGGCTGACCCCTGGGGCTTCTGCCTGGGCAGATCGTGCTGCCTGAGGTCACCCAGCACCTCCTCCTGTGCTGGAGCTGGCAAGGCAGATGGTGCCTCAGCCACCAGGAAGGGTTTTGGCTTTCTGACTACATTTCCTAGTTGGAGCAACTCATAGCTCCTCCTTCCCCCCTTTTCTGCCCAGGGTGGTGTTTCCACAGTGGAGGGAGACCATGGAGGCAGATGACATCATCTTCAAGGAATATGTTGAGAGCACAAAGCAATTCCACTTTGGACCGTTGCTGTGTGGGAAATCAAGAGACTGGTATGTGCTCCCTGCTGGGCTTTGCACTTTTGTGGACACTCCTAAGGAGAACAGGCTGTCCTGGTGGCACAATCCAGGGCAGTCCCCAGCAGAGTCCTGGGAGACACATGGGTTTGAAGGACCACAGATGTGTGAACTTGAGCAGATAAGAGGCAAATGAGCCTTGGAGGAGCTGCTCTGCCTGCCCAGTGAGTGCCTTGGTGGCCAGAGCTGCATGCTGCTGCCAGTCCAAAGGTGACTTGGGGGACAACTTTTGTGTCCCCCCACATGTCAGCTTCAACCCGTAGGAAATGAACTTTATGGGGGGTTTTGAAGTGCTTTGAGCTCTGCAGGTACCTGATCAAGCAGTTATTCTGTAGATGGTTTTGTAAACCTTTTATTAATCTGGAATTATTAATAAGATTTTATGGTTGACCTGCCAGTGGGTGTTGTGAGGAATGTACAGCAGGAATTACATTTTCCTGTAAGGACATTGCATTCTCACTGCTGGGTAAAGTCTACCTAAACATGTTGCCATTGAAGCTATTGTGTACTTCTACTTTTACTGTCACTTTTTTAAAAAAATAATACTTAACATTAAGTTCTTGTCTCCATGGAAGCTCTGGAGAACTTAGGTCTGTTTTGACACCCCAAGGAAATGAAATTGAAATAATTTAAAAAACAGACCATCTTTAGCCAGTTTGATAGATGGTCTGGGATCTCTGTTTGTCTCTTTAACCCTTTCACTCCAAAATAATTTCCACACCTGAGAGAAGGGTCATTTGTTATATTTTTGCATTTCTCTTGAAAATTGATGCTTTATATTTCTTTCTCAGACTTTGAGCTAACCCATGAAATCCAAAGCACTTTCATGACTTTTATGAAAGAGATTAGCTAAACTCTTTTTCCAAAAGCCTCTTTATACCCTGCAGGGAAGGCACCCCAAGGAAGAAGGGGAAAGAACTCACGTGCCTAGTGTACTGTTATTTTTCTAGGCACCTTTGAATTTACGTTGTATTAAAAACTCTTGAAGTGGCCTGAGCATCATCAGGCTTCTGGGCTGGAGGCACCAAGTCTGGGGGAAGGCATCAGAGTAAGACAAGGCTGAGCACACGGCCATGCCCCTGACTGGGATCCATTTCCCTCACTTGTTTGTTAGAGCAGGGTCTTCCAGCACTGCTTCCTCAGGTGCACACGGTGCTCTCCTCTGTGTGTGGCAAAGGCAGCAGTCTGCTCTGCAGCCTTTTCCCCTTTTGTGGACAGGTACAAGTGCCAGAACTGTCCCAGCAACTCGGAGAATATAACTATCCTCAACAACTCCCCCATGAACATAGAGGTCCAGTTCTCCTTTGAGAATGATGGGGAAGCAGCGACGTTCCTCTTGGACCCTCCCAGCATGGCGCTGAAACCAAAGGAGAAGCAGGTAGGAGAAGGGCAGGCAGAGCAGGCACTGTAGAAGTGCCCAGGGGCTGCTCCTCCTGCTCACACACAGAGCTCTTTCAATTTCTTCCTGTGGGGC